AGCAGGCAATCATTACAATGCATAAAGAGGTGAGAAAGGCCATTAATACAGATTTGTTTTCATGATTTATGCTTCAGGGACTGTGGCATTTTAAATGCATAATAAACTTATTTGTAGTTCTCTTGCGAATATTTTGTACAGTCCCACTGTAAAAGACTGGCAAACCCACAGTGGCTAAATCCATTTGATACTACTTTTATCCACATTGACTAATGATGTTCTATTTATCTGGTGCTAAATGAAACTATTCAAGTTACCTGAAGCAGTCAACAGTCATATAAACCCCAAAGTAAATTATCAAAATTAGGTTAGTTTTTTGTGTTTATTTGTTTAGCTTAAGAATTTTGTACAGAAAAACCTTGTTAGCTCAATATTGGATAGTTCAAAGTATTGGATGCTTTGAAGCTATTGTCACTCCCTAGACAAAAGATTGCAGCAATTTTCAAAAAGATAAAATGCTTCAATTGTGTTTGAACTAAGGCTGTAGGTACCTGTAGTATTTTGCATATGCAAATTACTATGGGTACATTTATTTTGATCCCATTTATTTCAAAGTTGGTGTTTTTTGGTCCCCTGCATTTCAAATTAACAAGTTCTTCCTGTAGTAGCTATTCATTACAGCGAATACTGCAATTTGCTGCCCAAATATTTGTGAGAGTTTAGTCAGTGCATCTTGTGAACAGAAAAATACACGCATTCTTCACATTGCTATGCAAACAACAGCAAGAGTTGTGAAAGGCGGTTCTAAATAAATAATTGACCCGATTTCTTCTTCATCTATCAAATGTGAGGATTGAAAAAATATTGTTAACTTTTGCCAGTCTTCCTGCCCTACAGTTTTCTATTACCTTTATTTTCTACTTCCTTAAACTGTACAGATGCAGAAGCACATGAATGTTGTGAGAGAGATTCCCTAATTTGCAAATAAGAGGCTATAAAGTGGTTTTCTAAACCTAATTGAAATCTCTTGAGAATTTCAAAGTCCTTCCATCAGTAATATACATTCATGCTTATTGTCACAGATCAGACTAACTTATGGAGATAGAGGACATGAGACAGTTACTTCTCCTAATAATTGTGATTCTTCATCAGTAACTTCTGTCTTGTTGTACTTAGGAGATGCATATCACCACTAAGCTGGGAGACTTATGGAAGATCAGTACCCATCAGAACCAAAGATTACAAACTATTTCTTATGTTAAACCCAGGATTTATATGAGAGTATAATTCTGGTAGGAAATGTTGATACCACTCAAATGGAAGTGGCAACCAGTAGCTTCAAGGATCCCAAACTAAAACTATAATGTTTAAAGCAGGGGCCTTCCTTTGTGTTTTTCTGTGTAAAGCTCAAAGCCTCTGCTCACACTTCCACGTTTATGTACAACTCTCATTGCTAGAAATTTCAAATGCAGATCACAGGCATGTGTCCTTTCAATTTTACAATGTTTTGCTAAAGAAGGACTACTTTAAATTAGCTTGTTGTTACTGCTAGTTTTTATAACTGCTCAGTGACCTGAAAAGATAAATATTTCAGGAATGAACATATTGGCTTTGCTAGGGTATTAAGAAACTGGGACAATCTGTGACTAAATGTGGTAATTTGATATTCAACATGACAATTCTATTGACTCAGGACTTTGCAATTGAATATCTATTAGAATGAAGTGTAAATACAAGAGATAATTTTTAATATTGCAAATAAATTCATATGCACTCACAATAACTGTTATATGCCCACAGTATTGCATTAAATAGGTGAAATTGCTATTTGGCTTTTAATGTGGCACCGTAGCCATTGGGGGGGGGGGGAGGGGTGCATTGTTCATGTTTTTGCACGCAAAACTGTATTTGAAATCACAAGGAAAATTCTTTTTTGGCCATTCCATTTCTCTTATTTTTTTCCTATTCTATCCTATTTCAAACATTGCCAGGGATGATTTATTTCCCTCCATCAAACAAGAAGCAAACCAGCAAAGGAATTGTCCATGAAGTTTACATTCCATCCTTTACCATAAAACAAAGAGGAAGAAGATAATTAGAAAGCAAGAGGAGGTAGAAGAGGATGCATCTGTGGGTGGATCAAACTTTCCAGGTTAAGAGGCAAAGGAACTGAATGAAGAGAAAGGCAGTAGGGAAAAAACTTGGCTTTTATGAAGGAAACTTCAGTCCCAATTACTTTTCATGCCTTCTCTTTGTTAGAATGAACCAACTGTTCCTAGCTAAAAAAAATTTAAACAGAATATTTACTTTAATATTTACTTCTAATAAAATTAACCTATAATTCCTTGCCCCTAGCCTTGGTGTACTTACTATTAAAATACAAAATTAGAAAATTTATTGAAAAAAATCAACATAATTCTTTTTTTCTGTTTGTAAAAGTAGCATTAGTCCTAGTTTCTGCATGAATTTCTTCACTCTAGGCTAGTCACAATGGCTCCCTATGCATATACTTGTGGGTGGGGAAAGGGGGCATTTAATTTGAGTGGTTCCTGGAGAGCAACTGTAATTAAAACAGCTCACTGTCATGTGTATCAAGCACTTATGCATTTCAAAATGATCATGGGGCAATTTATATAAATCTCATTCAATGAGGTTTAAATAAAGCACCCTGTGGCCATTTTGAAATGTGATGGTGAGGTGACACTGGACTGTTCTAATTGAACATGAACAAGCATGTCTGTAAGCACCCATTGTGAGTTTAATGGGATTGTTTCAGAGAATGTACTGCAATGAGAGGATTTTACCCTTTGACGTTTAGCTTGTCCTTCCACTTAATTGTAATCATTTGATTTTTATGCAAAAATCCAGGTATTATTACATTAAAACAACAGCAACACTGCCACAGTGGTTTCTCCAGTTTAGTATTCTAAATTTAATGTTAGTTTAATCTAAACTAAGTATTTTAGAAAGCAATGTAAAAGCAGCATATTCCAGAGAAGCTGCAACACTGCATACCATCCAGTAGTTATTTATACCCAACATAAGCATGTCTGTCATCAGTTTATATCCTAAAGCATGAAGGGTTTTGTTGTTGTTTTGTTGTTCCAACTTATGTGATTGAATATGATATTAATGTAATTAATTAAAGCAGAAGCATAATTAGTAATTTTGGTTCCCTGGGCACAGACGCTGTTGAGTGCTGGAGAGCAAAGAATGGGGAGGGGATGGGGCAGAGGGAAGACGTGTTGAAAGCTAGCGAGTGGCCGGGGTTTGCAGGGGGAGGGGGCAATGTTAAGCACCTGAAGGCAGGAGTATGGACCACTGTAGAATGCTGCTGGCACCCCCTCTAAGCCAGTAGCTGGGGCTGGTGCCCTATTTGCCTTGCCCTACTTGCAATACTGGTTCAATGCTTCTTTACCGTTACTCTATTTGTGGTTAGAAAATAAGGATAGAGACCAAAATGTTCTAGTTTTCTTTTCTGTTCAAAACTTGTTGGACTACTCTAATTTTTGGATCTGATTAAAAATTATAACCCTTCCCCCCCAAAAAACCCCGTGTCATTCATTTTGCCCTTAGCATTTTTTTCAAATATTTATGAACATATTTTGGAGCAAGTATTTGTCCTTTTGCATCTGTAGGGGAACTAGTTCATGTTGTAGAGCGCTTGCTTTGCATGCGAGGGGTAGTAGGATTGATGCCTGTGTTCTATGTAGCATTCTTATGAACATACTTTGTAGCAAGTATTTTTCTTTTTGTATCTACTAAATGCTCTTTCTATTGTTATTTTACAGATACATTACTAGCAGATACATTACTATTAGATGAGAAAATTAGGTAGTTGGGGATCTACACGTGCTCATAAAATGATTTACAATTTAACAGCATGCCCTTCATCATTCACACTCCCTATCTTCTAGACTCAAATACTTGCAGGTAGAATTTACAGCATGTGTAGGTCTAAACACCTGATTATGTAAAGCTAAATATTTATTGGTGTTTTTTCTATATGGTGCCATGGGTTTATGAATGAGGTAGTTAAATGTCTGCATGCCATAAAAATGTCTTTCTAACCACTGGCTTCCTTAAAACTTCATGCACAAAATCAGAACTATTTTAGGACTTACTTATTAATAAAATCAGAGCTGTTATCAGATGTGACATATCTGTCATTTTTTAAAGTATATTACAATTTTATATTTTGAGGTGAAAACAAATTAGATTATCAAATGCTGCAAATCAGACACATGGAAAGAATGAGATTGCAGATGACTTTATAACTGGGTTGGTAGGAAACACATGCTATGTAACATTCTCATTGGCTGAGCCAGTTGCCTTTCAGGACAAAACAATACAGTGTTACAAAATATTAGGGAGGTTCCTATGTTAGACATCATTAGTAGAGAAAGATATGTATTATAATAGCTAGATAATGGGATGAGAGTCATTACTGATTGCTTAATAAATCTTTTTCTTCCCTTGAAGCCATATAAATTATTTGATGGGAGTGAAAGTAATAATTAGGCACAATGAAACACTCTCCAATTTAGCAGAAACATAAATAATACGAAATATATATTTTTAAAATTGTACAACACAGCACCAGTTGTTCTATTTTCCTTAATTGTCATGTATCCTGCCATGTCCTTTATCTGCTTAGTGAATTTACAACTAACACAGCAGGTTGTGAATTTTTAATAGGTTCTCTTCAAGGAAAGAAAAGGTCAACATTAACATAAAATTCTTCCTTAAGATTTGTGGCACAAATGTTTCACAGCAGAGAACAGGTGTTGCTGGAAAACTAAAATCTACCACAGCAGTCAAGCTAAAAGATTCTCTATGTTAAGTAAGGGGGAAATGAATGCTTTAACACAACACAATGACTCTAGCAGCATGTCAAGGCAAAGTAAATTGAAAATGACTCCGCTTTGTCAGTGAAAGCCTTGTTAGTTGCAAGCAGCATAACATGTTTTTTTTCATTTTGTTTGTGTGCATTTTATTAAATCTGACCCCTTTTTTAAAAGTAAATTCTCTCTCTTTCTCTCTCTCTCTTCCTTCTTTAGCTTCATTCTGACCAAGACAAGGGAGATGGGTCTCTCAAGTACATTTTGTCAGGAGATGGGGCTGGTACTCTTTTTATTATTGACGAGAAAACAGGTGACATTCATGCCACTCGAAGAATTGACAGAGAAGAGAAAGCCTTTTACACCCTGCGTGCCCAAGCTATTAACAGAAGAACTCTCAGGCCAGTGGAGCCAGAATCTGAGTTTGTTATCAAAATCCATGACATTAATGACAATGAACCAACATTTCCAGAAGAATTTTACACTGCTAGTGTTCCTGAAATGTCAGTAGTTGGTAAGTAGCAATTTCAGGTATATAAATTCATGCTTTACATTTCATATTTGGAGAAAACATTTCTCCAACTATTATGTAGTCACTGGAGTCTTGAATTTTAACTCATGGGAGGTTCTTATGGTCACTGTATTCTCCACTTCCTCAGTCTCCCATTAGAATTAAAAAGGAGGCTGAAGTATCTGGTAGGCAGGTCAATGTCTGTAATCAGATTGAGATGCAAATGCTGTGACTTTATGCCAGTCTTAGAGGGAGAGGAGTCCAGGAGAGCTGGCTGTACTTTAAAGAAGCCTTACTGAGAATGCAAGAACAAACCATCCTGATGTGCAGGAAGACTATCAAGTATGGCAGACAACCAGCTTGGCTTATCAGGAAACATTTCAGTAAACTAAATCACAAAAAGAAAGCTTATAAGAAGTGAAAACTTGGACAAGCAACTAGGAAGGAATATAAGAATATTGTTTGGGCATTCAGGGATATAGTCAGGAAGGCTAAAGCACAACTGGAGTTGCAGCTAGCAACAGATATGGAAGGGACAAAGGACATGGATATGGAAAATGCTGAAGTACTCAATGTCTTTTTCATCTCCATCTTCACAGGCAAGGTCAGCTCCCAGACTACTGTACCAGGCAGCACAGTTTGAGCAGCCAACAGTGGAGAAGAACAGGTTAGGGACTATTTAGATATGCTGGACATATTCAAGTCCATGGGGCCAGACGGGATGCACCCCAGGGTGATGAGGGTGTTGGCTGATGTGGTTGCAAAGTCACTGGCCATCCTTTTTGAAAACTCATGGCAACTGGGAGAGGTCCTGGATGATTGAAAAGAGGCAAACATAGTGTCCATCTTTAAGAATGGGAAAAAGGAGCATCGAGGGAACTGCAGAACAGTCATCTTCACCTCAGTTCCTGGGAAAATGATGGAGGAGGTCCTTAAGGAATCCATTTCTAAGCACTTGGAGGAGAAGGTGATTAGGAAGAGTCAGCATGGATTCACTAAGGGCAAGTCATGCCTGACTGACCAAGCTGATTGCCTTCTAAGATAAGATGACTGGCTCTGTGGATGTGGGGAACTAATGTATGTGGCATATGGTCTCCTGTATTCCACAGGCAAGCTAAGGAAGTATGGGCTGGATAACTGGACTGTAAGGTGGATAGAAAACTGGTAGGAGCATCAGGCTCAGAGGGTAGTAATCAATGGTGCAATGTCTAGTTGGCAGCTGGTATCAAGTGGAGTGCCCCAGGGGTCTGTCCTGAGGAAGGTTTTGTTCAACATCTTAATGATTTGTAAGGCAGGATGGAATGCACCCTTAGCAAGTTTGTAGATGACACCAAGCTGAGGAGAGTAGTAGATATGCTGGAGGGTAAGGCTAGGATTCAAAGTGACCTAGAGAAATTGGAAGATTGGGCCAAAAGAAATCTCATGAGGTTTAACGAGTACAAGTGCAAAGTCCTGCACTTAGGATGGAACAGTCCCATGCATTAATACAGGCCGAGGGCTGACTGGCTGGGCAGCAGATCTGCAGAAAAGAACCTGGGGGTTACAGTGGAGAATAAGCTGGATATGAGCCAACAGTGTGCCCTTGTGGCCAAGAAGGCTAACAGCAAACTCGGCTCCATTGGTAGAAGTGTTGCCACAAGATCAAGGAAAGTGATTATTTCCCTCTATTCACCACATCTGAAGTACTGTGTTCAGTTTTGGACCCCTGACTACCAAAAGGTTATGGTCCAATGGAGGGCAACAAAAATGGTGACAGGGCTGGGGCACATGACTTCTGAGGCGAGGCTGAGAGAACTGGTCTTATTTAGTCTAGGAAACAGAAGACTGAGAGGGCATTTAATAGCAGCCTACAACTGCCTGAAGTGGGGCTTGAAAGAAGATGCAGATAGACTGTTCTCAATGATGGTAGATGACAGAACAAGAAGCAATGGTCTCAAGTTGCAGCAAGAGAAGTTTAGGTTAGATGTTAGGAAGAATAGTCTCACTAGGAGGTTAGTAAAATACTGGAACAGGTACCCAAAGAGGTTGTGGACTCCTCATCCTTGGAGGTTTTTTTAGATCCAGTTAGATAAAGCCTTGGCTGGGATGATCTAGTTGCGGATGGTTCTTCTTTGAGCAGGTGGTTGGACTAGATGACCCCCTGAGGACACTTTCAACCCTAATTTTCCCTGATTCTATAACTATGATCCCTACATAGAATCTTAAATATGTTCATTTCAGTGCATTTGGACTTGAATCAGAAGAGATGCTTCTCCCTTTCATTGTCTCTTCCTTGTTTACCTTATTTATTCTAGAGGATATAGAAATTCCATTTTCTTCCCTCCTATGGCTTGTCTGTGACTCTTGCATGGATTTCTCTGTTTTTCCCCTCAATTTTACCCTTTAACTTGTGTCATAGACTAGGGACAGACATTCAAAAAGCCTGAGCCAAAATTAATTCAATTTTTGCAGGTTAGTCTAACCTGGTTAGATTGAACTGGGTTGTAACTGCACAGATATCCCAGAAATGCAGGAACATGCCTGCAGTGGCTCAGGCTAGAAGCCGGGGGGCACTAGAGCAGCCTTCCCTTCTCTTTGACACTGCTGAGCTGAGGGAGGCATGGCCAGGGCCTGGCAGGACACTGGTTAGGGAGAAGTTCTTCCCCACTCTCTGTTGATAATAGAGTATTTCGTTATACAGCAGGGAGTTACACAGAGAGTTATTACCATTTATCAGCCCATCAAACAAAACAAAAGCATCTCTCATTAGTTCAAGCTTTTCCTAAACAACTTTTTTTGTAAGGAAGGAACAGAGGGACATTACAAGCTACTTCATAGATTTCATAGACATTAGGGCTGGAATGGACCTTGAAGATCATCAAGTCCAGATCCCTGCCCCAGGGGCAGGAAGTCAGCTAGGGTCAAAGGAACCCAGCAAGATAGGTATCCTAATGTTTCTTGAATGAGTCCAGAGTAGGTGTCTGCACCACTTCTGGAGGGAGTCTATTCCAGGCCTTGGGGTCTCGGACAGTGAAGTTTTTCCTTCCGGCTTCTGGCCTGAGCCACTGCAGGCATGTCTAGCCTAAAATAGTCATGGAGGCGTTTATGACTTTTGGTCCTTGTTGTATCTTGGGATGCTCTGGTGAACAGACATTCCTCCAGATCCTGATGCACACCCCTTACGTACTTATAGGCAGCCAACAGGTCATCCTTGAGCCTGCACTTTTCCAGGCTGAAGAGTCCCATAGCTCTCAGTCTCTCATCATAAGGCTTATTCTCTTGCCCTCTGATCATGCACTTGGCTCTCCTCTGGACTCTCTCAAGCTTCTCAACATCCTTCTTGAATTGTGGAGCCCAGGATTAGATGCAATACTCCAGCTGCGGCCTCACCAAGGCTGAGTACAGTGGGAGGATGACATCCTGAGATTTGCTTGAGAAGCATCTATGGATGCAAGCCAGAGTTTTGTTTGCTTTATCAGCTGCTGCATCATATTGGTGGCTCATGTTCATCGTGTGGTCAGTCATGACCCCTCAAGTCTCTTTCAGCTGTGGTGCTAGTGAGCATAGCCCTACCGAGCCTATAACCGTGTTGCAGGGTTTTTTCCCTGAGGTGATACCTTGGATTTTTTTGGTATTAAACATCATCAGGTTTATATCTTCACACTTACTAAGCTTATCCAAGTCAGCCTGGATCACTAGCCTATCCTCAGGTGTGGATGCTGTGCCCCAAAGTTTAGTGTCATTGGTGAACTTGGCCAGTGCACTTCTGACACCAATGTCCACATTGTTGATAAAGATGTTAAAGAAAACCGGTCCAAGGACAGAGCCTTGGGGGACACCACTAGTCATGGAGCACCATAATGATTTGCTTCCAATGACTACTACTCTCTGGGTCCAACCTCAGAGCCAATTTCCCAGCCACCAAAATGTGATGTAGCCGAGGCCACAGTTGGCTAATTTTTCCATGAGGAGATCATGGTACACCAGATCAAAGGCTTTTTTAAAGGCCAGATATATGATCTCAATCTTTTCTCCCTTGTCCAGGAGATATGTCACCTGGTCATAGAAGGAGATGAGATTGGTCAGGAAAGACCTACCCATGACAAACCCATGCAGCTGTCCTTCAGAATGTTGCCATCAGCCAGCTTATCAAGAAGGGTCTCTTTGATAATTTTCTCCAGAATCTTACTGGGGATTGAGGTCAAGCTGATTGGCCTGTAATTCCCAGGATCTACTTTCTGCTCTTTCTTGAAGATGGATACCACATTGGCCTTCTTCTAGTCTTCAGGTATTTCACCTGAGTGCCATGAGTTTTCAAATATTTTTGCCAATGGTTGGACTATGACACCTGCCCTCTCCTTGAGTACTCCAGGGTGTAATCTGTCAGGAACAGCTGACTTGAAGATGTCCAGCTCCTCAAGGTGTTCCTTTACAAGGTCTACACCAATGCTGGGTATAAATACACCCTCATCCTGGCCATCCTGTGTCATGCTAGGCAGGGCGGTCCCTTTGGGCTGATGAAAGACGGATGCGAAGTACCAATTAAGCAGGTTGGCTTTTTCCTA